TCCTGCATAAAAGGTAGAGCAATTTGGGCCCAGTTAAGGTATTTGGATTCAGAATATTTCCCTAGCCCTAAAGCACGATCACCACAATGGGAGGATAGGTGGCAGCACAACCTTTTCAAGCATATGGACCCCTTTTCAACTTAAAATTTCATGGTCCCCCCACTCCTCCCCGGGAAAGGAAAGGAAAGATCAGGCCTACTGTGATGGGCCCGATCCTTACTTTTAAACTTTCCACTGACCCCCTGCAGTACTGTCACAGTCCATCAGGGGACTATGGACCACAGGTTGGGAACCACTGCACTAGAACTTTCAAACTATGCTCTCCTCTCTCTCCTTCCCCCCGCCCAAGTATGTTCTTTCAGTTCCAAAGAAAAACTTCAAAACATCAACTATGTAACTGGTGCACCAATGTACGTTTTAGGCTGGATCTGCACTAGGGAAAGTCACACAGGTATATCTATATCAGTTCACTTACAGCAATGCAAACTCCTAATGCAGACATGCTCGCCAGATTGGACTGTTGACCACACATCCTCAATCACAAAACAGCTCATGTAGAAATAGCTGAGCTGGCTAGTTCAAGTACCATAGCAATGAAGCATAGACTTCACCGTGGACCAGAAAAGCCGGCTGAAATCAGGGGCAATTATACCGGTGGTCTAATCCAATTCTTGATGGAATTTAGACTCCCAAATGCCTAAAACCCTTTGGAAAATAGATTTGGGGTCGTAAATTAGTTAGCTGCACTCAGCACTGCCTAAATAGGTTTAAATATGTTGGCCTTAGCCATGCCTAACTACGCTAGACTGTAGTTGCACTAAGGGCCTACAGGTACCCTAGAAAGCTCTATAGGTCATAACAAATCCTCCAATCCATCCTACTCTCTTTCAAGCTTTTTTTTCTTTATTAAGAACTGATTTTGTGACATCAGGGAAAAGCTGGAATGGCATCCCTTTTATGATCATGCAATTTGATATTTCTTCTGTAGCACATTTAAAATATCATACACTTTTTACTAAAGATTATTACATGTAAAACTACGAGGGAGAAACAGCCAATCTCCCACAAACCAACACACCTCCCCAAATTAATCTGGCAAATCCTTCTGCAAGTATAGGGTGGTACCCTGGCACTGCTAAAGTCAATGGGAGTTCTGCCACTTATGTGAATGGCAGGGGGCAAGATTTCACACCAAATATTTAATAATTCATTAATGATTTTTTACTAGATGCATTTTGTTTAATTTTTAAAAAGAAAATCAAGGTAATCTGCATTTCATTATGTCCTTAGCCACACTTGTAAGAAAGACATTAATTTTATGAAAGGAATAATTTTTAATAGGCTCTTTTTATTTGTTTGTCAGAGAATATGATGGAATTAGAAATGAAAAATTTCCAAGTACAAGACAAGACTCATATTCTCCTAGTAATGCAGTGGTTACAGAGTACTTTTGCTCTGTATAGCAATATATTTACGTTCTTTGTTTTTTGTGTGTAATTTATACTAAGGATGTTAACCAGTCTTTGCTCATGTCTTGGATGGGCCATTATATTCAACACTCAAATGACATCAAAAGCTAAGTGTAGGGCACATCTATACAGCAGCATTATTTCGAAATAACAAAGTGAGCATCTACACAGCAAGCCCCTTATTTCGAAATAATTTTGAAATAACAGGCATCTTATTCCAAATTCTGTAACCCTCATTCTACAAGGAATAATGCCTATTCTGAAATACAGTAGTTATTTCAAAACAGGATGGGGCAGATGGAGTTATTTTGGAATAAGTGGCCTCCAGGGCTTCCCACAGGTGCCCTGGTGGCCATTCTGTACAGACTCATTATAACTCTATAGTTTCCCTTCCCCTGAAGCCCTTAAAGCAGTGGTCACCAACCAGTTGATTGGGATCTACTGGTAGATCTTGGAGTCTCTGATAGGTGATCTTGACTGGTTTGGCCAAGGGGCTATCACGTGCAACACTTCAGCTGTTCCTCCCCACACCGCTGCATATCTCCTGTCCTTTGCCTTGGAGCTGTTTCCCTCTCCCACCCTGTATTTTATCTTCACAGAACAAGGGTGGGGGGCACAACAGGGTTTGGGATGGAGGGCTTGCTGGCTGCTTTTGAGAATGGTGCAGGGCCAGGGCAGGGGTGAGTCTGCCTTAGCCTCACTGTACTACCACCCTGGAGCCACCTGTGGTAAGCAGTGTCTACCTGAGCCTGCATCCTGAATCCCTGTCCCAATCTTATACACGCTCCTGCACCCCAACCCCCTGTCCTAGCCCTGAGCACCCCTAGACCCAAACTCCCTTATAAATCCTCTCCCTGTGGGATGCCACCACTACCTGTCCTGATGTGTGTGTGGCACAGAAGGAAACCACACTGTCCTGCCACCCCTTCTCACCTTGGCTGGCACCATCCCATGCCTGCTTCTCTCCAGGACATGCGGGAAGCAAGGCTGCCCCCCCCCAGGGACACCTGTGCTCCTGCAGGAAAGGGCTCGCTGTGTAGGCCACAGACGGCCTTGCTCCAAGCACATTGCCAAGACCAGTCTCTTGGGATGACTGCCCTTCTCTTTGTTCTTCACAGCTGGACCAGCTGAGAGACACCCCCACAACATCTCCCACGCCAGCCTCCCAACCCCATCGGAGCCGCCACCACAGACGAGACCATAAGGACTTTGAGCAGGAACACATGGCCTGCCTACATGGCCTCTAGCACCCTCTGGACTGGCAGGACCAGTAGTGGGAAGCGGATCAGGAGCTGCACCGCAACACCTTGTGGGAGCAGGCTCAAGAGGCCCACAGCATGTGTGCGGCATACACAGCTATTGTGGACCGCAGGGTTGCTGCCCTAGAACAGTCCAGCAGGCACCCCCCCTCCTACTCCCACTCCTCTGGTTTCTCCCCCTGCTCCTCTGGCTTCTCCCCCGGCGCCTCCCCTAGGGCATCCAGGGCCCTACACAAGCAGGCACCACTCCCAGCCCCAGCCCCAAAGCCTCTCCTCTCCCCCCCCCTCCACCTCCTTTCCCCAGTCTCCTTTTTTATAAGAACTTCAGGAAGCAGCTACAGGAAGTGAGTGCTGTCCTGATGCGCTTCCTGAAGTGTTTCTGGGGGGCTTTAAATGTGATTGAGGCTCCAATGTGTGTGGATGCTCTATTTCAAAATAGCTCAGGACTATTTTGATGAGCATTTTGCTGTGTAGAAGCACTATTTAAAAAAAAACTATTTCGAAGTTTTTCTTCTGAAATAGCTTTATTCTGAAATAAGCGTGCAGTGTAGACGTACCTTTACAGCCCATTCTATTAGCCTAATTTAGCACAGACACTTTGTCAGGTTTTATCCTCCCCCCCTCCTCTTTTCTGCAATATATTTGTGCTCCTGGACCGCTTTCATCTGAAGAAGTCAGTTGTGCCCACAAAATATAGACGATATCATCTATATTTTTTGGTTCGTATCTAAGGTCCTCCTGGATTATTCGCTGTTTTTTAAATTTTTAAAAAAATCTGATCTGGTCATTGGTCCTGAGCCAAAATATGTGGCATTGTCCCAACTAATGACATTAAACAGTAGAAAAAAGGACTGTGTTCTAATGTCAGGGTCAATAAAACAAAGCAATGATGAATACAAATTTCATTGATCAGAAATGGCCACAGAGGGGAGCTGTTGCTACAGGGATGGATTTCACCTTGCCTTGTTGGGCCTTGTATTACACTAAATACAAAAGCAAGCAATAAGGCAGGAAGTTAGTTTTGATGTAGAAGCAAAAAAAAAATCCACTTTCCCAATAAAACTATTGTCAATCCTATTCCTAAAATTAATGTGAAGACCAGCTGTCTATACCAAAAGAAATACCATTTTCTTTAAAATGTGTCCAGTTTTAAACTGTTGACATTCATTCACTATAAAATCAATTTCACAGCTGTCTCATAATAGTTTGACACTACAAAATAACCAGATTTATATCATTTTCCTATTCTTTCCTCTGTATAATTTTGTTTCATATCTAAGGTCCTTCTAAACCTAAACATTTAAAAAAGTCAGTCACCTAATACTTCTGAACTCTTTGATCTCCTTATTCAGTTATTAGTGTTATATAATTATCATATTAAAGTCTTCCCTTAAACAATAGATTACATCTTATGGAATTTACTTTAAAGCTTCACTTTAAAATCATTTTACTAGGGACTTTATACTGAGGGTATCAACCAAGAATAATTTAAAAAAGTCAGATGTAAAGCTGTGAAATCAGTCAGCAAAATTGGACACCCAACATTCCCACAACTCAATCCATGTTCTCTACACTGTGCAGATATCCCTTGGCACAAGTAAGTAATAGAGAGAGAGGGTTTATACTGGATTCTGAAAATTACATGAACACATTCCATAGAGCTTAATATAAACATAGAGTGAGGAGGAAAGCTTTAAAGAACAGCGAGGTTAGAGATGGAAAGTTAATGAGATCAGGGGACAGAAGGATAGAGAGATTTAGTTAAGGTGTATCTAATGGGTTCATCACTCTGGTAGTTACAGTGTCTCACAACAAGCCCACGGCTCTTATGAATCCATAATAACTGGAGTGACAGAGGCAGACACTATCATTAACATCTCTGAACATGCTTTTAAGATTTTTTGTATCGTAATCATATTTTCAAAGAAAATGATCCAACAGACGCCAGTAACAGCCTTTAGAAACGAGTGAAAATACAGGGTGAGGGGCTCCCTCCAACGCATCTCAGCAGTACTTTGGTGCACTGCAAGTGGCTGTTCCGGCTGCTGAGATTATGAGGGGAGGGAGGGATTTGCAGGCCAATCCCTTTGGTGCAGTGCAGCAGGGGTTGGGTGGGGGCTGCAGGCCAGTCCCTTGATGAATTGCAATAGCGATTAGGGGGAGGGGGCTTGCAAGCCAATGCCTTGGTGCAATGCGGCAGGGGCTGGGGGAGGGGGCAGCTCCGGCTCCTGCATGGGGGGTGTTTTGCAGGTACAGGCTGGGGGCTGCTTACCAGCGTTCTGTGCCTAGGAGCGTTGGATGACAACTAATTTTCGTTTGGTCCCAGCAGCGTAACACGCCTGCCTGGGAGAGGCCTCCAGCCAAGCACACCGGGAGGGGGGTAGCACCACTAGAGCTGCACTGAGCCCACCCCCTCTCCAGCTGCGCTGACTCACGGCGGCAACCGGGAAAGCAGAAAAAATCCCCGCCCCCTCGCCCCTCATTGGCGGAATCTTCCCTCGAGAACATCCAATCCCCTGCTCAAACAGTTCCCATGGCAACCGGTAAACGCTCCGGGGCCTAGC